AAACATTCACATCGCAACAAAATCTATTGCAGCAGTTTTCATTTGACAAACTAATAATGGAATTTTAATATAGGCTGATTATAAAATAACATAGTTAATATTGTTCGGTGGATCTAATATCATTTCTTACTGTCCGTTTGGTTAATTTCCGGAGCCCCTCAAATGCAAATACAAAATACAAAAGCTGAAAAAATTTTCATCCACCTCACAAAGGTCACCTCTTCAGAAACACACAGGAAATACTCCCCCTAACACCTGGATCGTCTTCAGCGTTAAGTGAATGGATCCCAAGTCAGTTGCACTAGTGATCAGCAGTACTGCCTGGTATTGTGCAAAATTTCTTGACAACCAGGAAGTTATCAACTTCACTAATTACAAAGAGAGCACTAGCAAAAGCCTGCCAATTGTAGGTATTTGACGCTTTTATTCCTACTGCAGGGTGCACGTTCACACCGCCTGTGGTCACAGAGACATGGCATGGATATAAATTCATTTTCAGTGGGTCCGATCCTGTGGGTTTCTGGTTTAAGTCTCAGCCGCTTCCTCCAGCATGACTGATGGGATAATTAATTACGGTCCAGGTGAATAACACCCCAAGCAGCCCAGTGCACCACGCACTCACCGCAGGGACTGGTGCACACATCACCTCACACCCACGATTAGCGCACCGGTCAGGGCAGCAGCACTGCAGCATGTCAAAGCGAAATACTGCATTTCATTTAGTCATGAGGCACAGTCACGGCATGGTACGCCACAGTAACCCCGCGCTGGGGCCTCGCCGGGTGGGAACCATGCCAGAGAAGCCAGCCTTGCGCAAGCCGGCAGGATGAAGTGGTGCTTCACTGTCAGAAACTGACAGAGTGCAGCTGCAGCAGCTCGTACCAAGGGCCTATTCACGGGGTATCACCCGTACCAGGGCCCTAGTCATGGGGTATCACCTGTACCGAGGCCCTAGTCATGGGGTATCACCCGTACTGGGGCCCCAATGATGGGGTATCACCCGTACTGGGGCCCCAATTGTGGGGTACCACATGTACCGAGGCCCTAGTCATGGGGTATCACCTGTACCGAGGCCCTAGTCATGGGGTATCACCCGTACTGGGGCCCCAATGATGGGGTATTACCTGTACCGGGGCCCCAATTGTGGGGTACCACCTGTCCCGAGGCCCTGGTTGTGGGGTATCACCAGTACCGGGGCCCCAATTGGTGGGTATCACCCATACCGAGGCCCTAATTATGGAGTATCACCCATACTGGGGCCCCAATCGTGGGGTATTACCTGTACCAGGGCCCCAATAGTGGAGTATCACCCGTACCAGGGCCCCAATAGTGGGGTATCACCAGTACCGGGGCCCCAATTGGTGGGTATCACCCGTACCAAGGCCCTAGTCTCGGAGTATCGCCTGTACTGAGGCCCTGGTTGCGGGGTATCACCCATACCAGGGCCCCGATAATGGGGTATTACCGGTACCGGGGCCCCAGTTGTAGGGTATCACCCGTACTGTCGTGATCACGGGGAATTTTTGTGCCTTTTTAAATACTGTTCATTGACTTCAGAACCTCTAGAGCTCAAATTGAGATTATCAGGCACCTGTAGAGTTTGCTTTGATGTTTCTTCCACTTTTCCTTCGCTGTTTCTTACCTCTACAGACTGGAATCTTGCTCAGGTTGCACAAAGGGCGTGTGGGTGTTTCACGCTTTAACCGTATGCCTGTGTGAGTGTTTTTCTTATCACAGTATGTTTTCCCACAAATACTTACAGTAAATGAACTCGACAGACCTAAGACTAATTGATGAATCATCCAAGTATCACCACAGCGGTTGGCCACTTCGGCAAGAGCAGAGCTTTACAGAAAATCAGCTGAAAATGAGTCACCCGGTTTAGATGTTTGAACTGTAAATCACTCAGTCTTACTTATTAGTGCAAATCCCTCAGTATCACTCCATATGTTCATACATGCATATAATGATATGTGACAAGTCAACTTATGTTACAATAGAGTATTCATTTTTTGTTTGGTATTTTCTTGCTTTTGTTATTTGTGCTTATTAAGCTTACAATAATATTTGTGATGTTTAGGCATTGCGACGTGTGTGTCTTGTTCCTCCTTTAATTTGCTTGAAATTGTAAAGGGTCTCATCACTGCATAACAAAGTGAATATCATTTCTACTTTTTATTTCTTCATTCACGCACAAATGACAGCCTGAGACGTGCCTCAGCATTTTGGTAACTCAGAGACCAAATGACACTACAGCTACCATTAGGTTTGGTTTAACTTGGTTTGGAGAAACTGCTCCAGCCGCAAACACACAAGATACTCAAGGCGCCAGTTCCAGAATCATTTCTGATTTCAGCAATGTACTGTATCTTAGAATCATTGATGGAATTTGGCTTTAACCTCAACCACAGTTTGCACCTTGCTTTTAGCAAGCAGGCCCATTCTCTCTTTATATAATGTTAGCATGCCTGGGGGGGGGGTAGGGCAGCAAGTTTTTTTCTTCTTAAATTATTGTGTACAAATGATGTAGTGATGTATTAAACCCATGTGAAGGGGCTTGGGGTGACTGTTGTGAAAGGCGCTATATACAATAAATGGTGACACATTACTTGAGGGGGCACAAATAACTTAGTAACTCACTACTCAAGTACAAATCAAGAACATATATACAAACTGCATGGAATACATGAACCATTTTGACTGATTAATGAACAAACATGGATCAGTAAGTAACACTTAGTTTCTGGTTAATTGAATAAGTAAGAGTGTACTTCTTGCCTCATGACATTGTTTGTGCCCCCAAGTAAAGTGTTACCAAATAAACTGAACTGAATTGAACTGAATATGTTCATGAGACTTAGCCACAATATTTAATTTCTTTTAAATTATGTTGCATCGCAGATGTGAGAGTTAGTCCCTTAAGTTGATTATGAAGTGTCACTTCTTAAAAGCTGAGACCTGTACTTATTTGCTGCCTCTGTTCATTGTAAAGTGGTGAATATACACAAAAATAACAATAAACAACAATAAATATATATTCAGAATAACAGGAACATAGCACACGAAAGGAGTATTATCAACAGTACTTGCTGGACTCACTGAATTTGGATAGTAGAATAGCAAGTGCAGGTAGTTAAGTATAGTAGTAAGTAGTGTGTTCAAGTATAATGCTAGTTATTAGTTGCATTCCTGGAAAAACTTAAGCAAATGTATGTTATAGAAACATGAGGGATTATGGGGAAAATTTTATAACTTTGTAAGTAGACACGATAAAAGACAGGAGCCTGAAAAGAATGATACCATAGTGTCATAAATAATAAATAGATCAATTCTACAATAAATAGCCTGAATTTTGCTGGTGGAAGTTTGTGTCAGAAGGTTTCTGCTTGCACATTATTGGTTGTAACACAAGATACAGTTGACTGCAGTTCATTGTTCTCTTGATGTGTTTTAAAATATAAATCCAGCTTTTGTTGCTTTATCAATGCCCTCATCACATACACGAGCTGCTTGTATGGCTTATGAGCCTCTTTTTTCCTATAGAAGTTAACAAATCAACAAATGTGGAAAAATAGCAAAAAAAAAAAAAAAAAACAAGATAATGTGAGAACCGGGTGTTTTGACACACGTCGGTTCATCTGGGGGCTGTTTTCTGTGTTCACCTCATTCTCATTGCTGAAATCACACATCAACAAATCTGGACATCACACTATACAGCAATTATTCGCTGATTGGTGCAAATTATTGCAGCGGTGCAAATTCACATTTTCATAACATACGTTATAGGAGAATATACTGTGCACATGCTAGGTATTTATGCTGAGGGATGAGGAAGGAAAATCAAAAGCGGTTTTGAATCCATGGAAGAATCTAATGGAACCAGTTTGTATCAGTATTATGTGTTTTATGTAGCAATCGATGCAACATTTTTTGGCCAAATGTCTAATACTAATGTGGTTAGACACTAACTTGTGGGGAGATTACAATACAAAATGCAGATGTAAGGCGTTTAATCACAGCAGTTTGTACTTCTGTATTTCTCTTGTGTGATGACCTTTGACCTTGAAAGAGATATGAACTCCCGGGATAATGCATTGTGGGATAGGTTTCCGATAACCATGGGCGTCTTGACTAAGCTCCTTTAGTCATCCAGAAGGCCTTGGGTTTTGGTGATCTCATCCTGTCTTTTTTCCCCACAGGCTTCTAGCATCACACTGTATATCAGTTAAATCTGCTTAGAGCTGAAGTTTGCATAGAGACAGGAGATTTTCATGTCCTAAAATAAATGTTGCATTGTCAGTCAGGCACTCTGGTAGCCTGAGAACATTGAAATGTCCTTCTAGTAAAACCAATGCCGTGCCTTTCTCCTACATTTGTCATTTACCTCAGTATGTGGTATAGTACCCAGAATGCTCTCTGGGCTTCTGATCATTATTACCAATTGGGCCTTTTATCAGTCATCCCTAAAAGAGGAATGCTCTGTGGTAACAAAAAGCAGCGATCTTTCTTCAAAGGCAGCTCAGCGAGGACATGGACCAGAAATGTGGGACAGAGATTATGCACTGTCATTTGGAGATATGGTGGGGGTAGGGGCTGCTGGGGTGGGGTGGGGGGAGGGGCTGGATGAGTAATTGGGGGGGAGTCAGAAAGATCTACACAGTACTAGTGCACTGAGTTGTGAATTATTAGAAGGATTCCATAAATACATCTGTAGGAGAACAGTAATGTAGATCAAGCCTTCCAGGGAAATGAGCTTGAAAAAAGCTCATTGAAACAGTTAATATCGGAAAGCAAACTAGCCTTTTATTCTTCTTTTCCCTTGTGGCTCTTAAAAAAGTTCTTAACAAAGAAATTGTTTTATTTTGCAGGTGGAGGGCAAATATGACTACAGAGAAAAGGTGTGTAATATGCAGTGAGCCGCACTGCTGGACTGAGGTGGGGGGGGGCTGAAGAAGTGGCGAGGAGGTATTTCTGCTGGACATTGTGCACAGGGACAAAGACAGTGTAAGACATTTTATTTATGAGGAAATCTAACTGAGGTGACCCCCCTCTCCCCTGCCTGTTCCTGACAGGTGAATTGAGTGCGGTCAAGACCTGGCCAGGTTACTTGCTGGTCAGTGACTCGCAGAGGCGGAAATCCAACACCGGCAGGGAGCCCACACAGCTGCCCGCAAAAGTGCTCCCTTAAAGTGGCCTTTAATTCAAAGCTTGGTGAAAAAAATAACAAACGCAGCTTACAGATTTAAAACCGTGACATGGATACATTTATGGGCAACGACAAACAGTTTGATGTGCTCTACATTTAATACACCTTCTAAAATTAAAAGCGTTTTAATAATTGGTGTTATCAGACATATAGACAATAATTTTGAGTGACCTATGTAAAATACACGTTAAAAACCGAAATACCTCTTTCTCACACTATCAATGTATTCTTTATAGCTCAGCTCCATAAATTTAAGATTTAAATTATATTTTTGTATGGGGAGTTTGTCAAACGGTATCCGTGGACCAGCACTTCATAAAATGACAATTCGCACGACAATATAAGTCACATATCCAGTGTGACTTTCACATATTTTACAAACTTCACGTTTAGAGAATGTTGTCGACTTTTGATACAATTACTTATCAAAGAAAGAGGCTCTCCCCAAATTGCATCACAGACATATTTCAGCGGGGTAAGTTAGGGTGCTGGGTATTAGAGTCATCATCATCGATTATTGTCATGTGGAAACGCAATCATTCTGGCCCCGAAGTAATGTCGAGACCCAAGGATAAGAGAAGTTCTCCTTGCGAACTGTTTTTGCAGAATTTTTAATTTAGAAAATTAAATAAGTTAGTATTAGACTTCTCACACGTACAGCTATATAAAAGGGCTCGCAGGTTGCATTTCCATAGTAACAGTAAGTAAACAAAATGCAAAGCTTTGTCACTGCAAGGATGCACAGGAAACAGGGCACTTTGGTGCCAGTGGGGACAGCCGCCCGGCATCCTGGGTCCCGGTCAGGTCTGAGCACCGCTGCACCATACACAAAGCCACCCCCCCCCCCATTCACCGGCAAGCCGCGGGTGCTGGGTGGGTCCCCCTCCTCACAGTGCCAGCTGCAGTTTGCTCAGGTTCCTCTGGTGCATGTTGTGATGCCGTACCAGCTCATCCGAGCGCGCAAATTTCTTCTGGCAGTTGGGCCACCGGCAGTTGAAAGGTTTCTCACCTGGGGTGGGAATAATAGTTTCACTATGAACCAGTCTAATAAAGTTAGTCATTAAAAATTTATTTAATTGAGAAAACATTAAAAAAGTTAATAACACTAAAACAATACTAAAGTTTACGGAATAACACAAATAGTTATAATACTGTATTGAGGCTATGTAATTTCACATTCAAGCTGATTTGAAGAGACTGCTTTTTGAAAAATACAATATCTTAGTACAAAATTTACATGGACTTGCTAGGAAACCTAAATGATTCCTCTAAAATGTTTCAAACTCAATGTCATCTTGAAGAGAATGACATGACTTCAAAGCCATTTCATTGTTTGGGATTCTGCTCCTTAAAGCACCACGGTTTTAAATAAATGTGAAAAATAAAAATGTTACGCACTTGTTTTACCTGTATGAGTCCGGGTGTGGGTCTTAAGGTGGTCAGACCGCGAGAACTTTCTCTGACACGTCTCGCACTGGAAGGGTTTAACTCCTACGCACACACAGAAGAGGAGAGAGACACGTCCAGAACAGGAATCGACCCGGATGGGGGCCGATCCACTGACTGTGGGGGACGGACTCCAGTGCTTTTATGTGACAGGTGAGACTTTTTTACTGGATGTATGTATATATAAAATATTTTAAAATATATTAGCCCTAACATCCATGCATTTCCCATGCTCGCTAGTCCTATTCAGGGTCACAGGGAGGTTCGGATCCCATCCTGGAGGCTATGGGAGCAAAGCAGGAAATAACCCAGGATGGGGCTCCAACCCATCGCAGTTAACCATAACTATTTGTAATAAATTTTATTAAGTTTAAATTTACCAATACAATGTTATAGTATTTAAATGTATTACTCATTATTACTTGGAACGTTTTAGAGTTTCCATCTTCCAATTTATTGTTTTATCTTCATATGATATTCTATTTTCCATGAAATCATGCGCCTGTCTTCAAACAGTGAGGCAAACCCATGATGAGGAAACATTTATTACCTTGATTATAATTCATCTTGAGAATTTATTTATAAGTTACAAATCCTGCATTAAACTTTGGAATGATTTAATGATCAAACCGTAAAAAACAACCGGCTGTAAAATATAATTGTATGTTCTGTAATGTCCTGGTTCCCTGTGATACTGTAGTCAGTGTTGGTGGAAGGCACATGATGAGGACAAAGAGAGCGTGCACGCGTGCGTGTGTGTGCGAGTGTGTGCGAGTGTGTGCGAGGCGGGAGATGTGCTGACCCGTGTGCCTCCGCTGGTGCCTCTTCAGCTGGTCGGATCGGGAGAAGCGTCGGCCGCAGTCGGTGAAGTCGCACTGATACGGCTTCTCACCTTAGAAGGAGGAGTCAGGTTTAGAATAAGCCTCAGGGCTAGAGACTGATATTTGGATGAGATCTAGCATGAGATTAAGTGGCTCCTCAGAGTAACTTTGCTGGTGGCGTTTACACTCATCTAAAAGTTATTTGGTCGTCTTCATACCCTGGATGAACATTTCCAGAAATGACGTGCGTTAATGAATCTAGCAGAGCTGCACCATTCCCAAGTAGTGCCTGCTGGAAATGGACACAGATCCGAGTACCTGAGGCCGCAGAGCTATAAGCAGGCAATTAAATAAAAGTTTCATACAAAAACTAAGAAATACTGATTCTGGCCTTTCTTGTGAATTGTGTGCTCTACAAATCTATCCTGTTGAATATGTAACGGTTACAACATCCATCCATTTTCCAAACTGCTTATCCTTCCGGGTCACAGGGGGTCTGGAGCCTACCATGGAAACTATGGGCACAAGGTGGGCAACAACCCAGGATGGGGAGCCAGCCCATTACAGGGGACACTGACACACCATTCACAATTTAGTAACTCACAATAGCCTCAGCAAATCTTTGGACTGTGGGGGGAAACCCGGAGGAAACCCCACAACAACATGGGGAGAACATGCAAACTCCACACACATGTAACCCAGGCGGAGACTTAAACCCTGATCCCAGAGGTGTGAGGCAACAGTGCTAACCACTGCACCACCATGCCGCCCCCATGGTTACATTATGGAAAATTCATCTGTGAAAAGCTCATTAAACTCATGGTTATGAAGTACACTAAGCTCGTTGCCATCTAGGATTTTGTGCTGTATTGGTAAGCAACCACACCTCCCCGTGTGTTTCCGGCATCTTCCACTTACCAGTGCATTTTTGGCTCCTTTCTTTTACATGTGTGTTTCCATCCTGCACCTTCCTCTTACCCGTGTTTTTACGGCACATTCCTCTAACCCGTGTGTTTCCAGCACCTTCATCTTACCCAGTGTTCCCTGCGCCTTCCTCTTACCCGTGTGTTTCCAGCACCTTCATCTTACCCAGTGTTCCCTGCACCTTCCTCTTACCCGTGTGTTTCCTGCACCTTCCTTTTACCGAGTGTTTCCTGCACCTTCCTCTTACCCGTGTTTCCTGCACCTTCCTCTTACCCGTGTGTTTCCTGCTGTGCATCTGCAAGTGGGACAGCTTGAAGTATCTCTTGTTGCAGCCAGGGTAGGAACACATGAATGGTCTCTTCTCATTGGTCTCCGATGATCTCACAATGGAAGGCGTGATACCGGGCACCCGCCGCACGTCCTGCTGAAGGGGGCACTTGTGAGCAGGTGGAGCCACCTCACATGAACATGTGGTGTGATGATGTGGCATTCCATGTATAAATGGACAGTTACGGGGTGTGAGCACAGTGGATGTGTTAATCGAGTAGTTACGGCATGTGAGAGCAGCAGACGTGTTATATGTACAATTACTAGGTGTGATTGCAGAAACCTGCAGATAGGAGGTGTAAGTGCAGTGGACATATTAAAAGCACAGTTATGGGATGTGAGTGCAGTGGACATGTTAATTGCATAATTAAAGGGTGTGAGTGCAGTGGACATGTTACACCTGCAGTTACAGAGTATGAGTGCAGCAGACGTGTTAAATGTGCCGTTATGGGGCACAAGCACAGTGGATATGTTAAATGTGCTATTACAGGATGTGAGTACAATGGACGTATTAAAGGTGCAGTTA